CGGCGCCAGCCAAACCCGCGAGCGGACACCTGTTGCTTCGGCTTGAAGGCCCAAGGACGCCCACGGACATGACGCTACACTGACTCTCGGCGGGGCCGGGGGGCCGCACGACGTAGAAGACCGCCATATTGCTCTGCCGCGCTCGCCTGCTGCGTGCCTACAGGAGAGGAGCGGCCGGCTCGGAGGCCGCGAGGCGCGAAGCACGTGTTTCGCATCACCGCGCTTGCGAGTCTGAGTCGGCGAGCCGATGCGAGTTGTTGCTGTGAAACGGAGCTAGCTGGTGTGGCCTGGGTCTTTTCAGCAAAAATTTTCAACCATCCTCTCAGGACTCAAAAAAAGGACTCCCGCGGTCGAAGGACGAAGCTTCCCGCTCTAGCCTATCTTCCCTCTTGTAGCTCGAGCCCTCGAGCTCTCATCATAGAGCCATTCCATATGCCATATCACTTGAGGCAAACACCCCCCACTTTGGGACCTATTTGAGGCGGTGTGACGGCACTCACAGGGCACGGGAAGCTCTCCCGCCGTGTCTGCGTGGCCCGCCCGACCCGCGGGGAACGGCGCGCGCCCCTCCCGGCGGAGCTGGGTGCGGCAGACGGGCCCACGGGTCGGTTCCAGGCCGATTTGGGGCCGTTCTGTGTTTGTTCTGGGTCAAAATCGAGCTACACACAAGTAAAAATCTCGCCCCCACGGATCTTTTTGATTTTTCTGGCCACGATCGTCGCCCGGGCCCGTGAGGCCATGGGAACGCCCTCGGATTGTACAGCACCCTCCACTAGCCACAACCGTGGGCCCTCAACCGCGTATCGGAGAGAGAGAGAGAGAGAGAGAGAGAGAGATTTAGAAGCCAACAAGAAATGTGTCACACACAGTGATTTGGGCTCGGCAGCTTGTCGACTACCAGCCGGAGCCGGAGTCGGAACCGTAGCCGAGATGGTCGTCGAGGGTGTCGAATATGTCATTCGCCTCGCTAGTAGAGCCGGTGCCGCATGAGTCTTGGTCGGAGGAGGAGTCGTCGGAGGAGCGGACGGACCGCTCGCGCTTGTCGCGCCTGATGCGCTCTGCGAGGGGGCCGGGGTCGTGGTCGTCGTGCTCGAGCGTCGGGAAGACAGCGCGCCGTGCGACCTTCTCGGCCGTGCTGCCATCCCAGTAGAAGGTGTACCAGTCGCCGCTTTGATAGAGCCAAGCGCTCTCTCTCTTTGTATCGGTGTCGCCGCAAAATAGCGTTCAGACGCTGTCTCGTCGTTATAAATCGGCCAATCTGGCCCCTTTTACAAGTTTTGCTTTGGGACGCACCGTAGCACGGTGGAGTCGAGATCCGGCGCGCAACCATCAAAAGTATCATCAATCGGGCCCGGCTAGACCTGCCCCCGGAGGCGCGCAAAATGGAGGCGATTTTGTGGTGGTAAAGCGCAAGATGGCCAGAACGGGGCGCCGCGCGCTCGGGAGCGCTCGCCGCTCGCAGGCCAACTCCTCCCCAGCACGGTGCGTGCGTGCGCTCAGGTTGAGCTCGATGCGACTTCACAGCCTCCGCCGTGAAGCTTCCAGCACGTCGAGGGCGGACGTCTTTCGGAGCCATGGATTTGGCGCAGCGCTTCGCCGGCTGTCATCCCAGTCCATGGTCGCTCCACAACGATTCCCAGGCGTGTCCGCACGCTCCCCAGGGGAGTGGGCACGCTTCTTGCTATCCTGAAGCGCGCGTCAAGCCCGCTCGACCGTGAGCTTGCTCCGCGAACAGTCTTTAAACAGACGTTGAGCGACGGGCGTGGATCTCCCACACACTCGCCAACTCCTGACTGAGCAGGCCTGTCTGGGGGCCGTCACACCACGGGTGTTGCTTAACAGCGCACTTCGACAGGGCAGCGCAACGTCAGCAGAGTCAACTCGAGTGTCAACGGCCTACGTGCGGCACCTTGCCCTCCGAGGCGGTCAAGCTCGAGAGAACCATCCCGTGTGGCATCTACGCTGCCAACGACGACTCGCTCCCGCCGGGATCTGGGTCGACCAGTACCGATGGCGTTCGAGCACCAGGACGAGGAGGCGCCGTTCTCGCGTCTCCCGTCCCCGACAACTCCGATATGGACATCTTCGTTGGCGGCACGCCCGTCAACGAGACCATCGCCAGCCTCTTCTCTCGCGACGCCTCTCCGCCGCCCGCCGACGAGGACTCGCGGGTGAGCATCTTCTCCGTCATTTACACGCTCATCGTCTTCGTCGAACGGGCCGCCGCGTTCGCCTTACTCTCAATCATGTACACGCTGGTCGCCTGCCTCGTGGACATTCCGGGCCATCGTCTTCACCCTCTTCTCACCCAGGCTGCTGCGGCGGCGCACGGCATGAGCACACGGCATGGACAGTGGACCCGTGTGTCGACTGTCTGTTTTTGGAGATAGCTTGGTTGTGTCTGTGGGGGTTTAATCTTTTGTTCAAAGGGGTAAAAAGACACCCTGGTGCGGTACTCGAGTAGGGATCAATGCCTCCTGAGTTGTATGTATGTAGGAATCCTACCACCCTCCCTACTTGTTACGATGCGAGTACCCTATTACATAGCGGAGACTCCGCGAATACGATGCGAGTATCCAGCCCGCGAATACGATGCGAGTTCACACAAGTCTCAGCGCTGAATACGACACGGAAGAATGTTTATGTTCACAGCAACCGCGACAAACTCGCATCCTCGCCGACGCGGAGGCAAGCGCGCGATACGATGTTTGGCTCACCGCGATATGTTTGGCTCACCCGCGGTATGTTTGGCTCACCCGCCAGGGCGCTCGTTGCTCCTCCCTCTCTTTGTATCTTCCATATTGCTCCGGTAGGACGCAATGAGACACGCTCCGCTGCAACCTCCGAAGCCTCCCGTAACGTCTAACCGCCCGCCGCGCTAACTGACTCCTCATCACCTCCCTACCAACATACATAGGTAGAAAGGTGAAGAACAGTCAGGCTCGGACTGGACACCAGCGCGTTATGGGTGGACGCGGGACAGATGATGACGACACGTATGCACACAGGTACACCAAAAGAAACAATGCAGCAAAACTCGCATCGTATTCGCCGACTCCGCAAGCGGCGCGTTCCTGGCTCTGGATTCTGCGCGGCGAAAGAATTTAGCCGCGCACGACACTACGCACAGCCCGAACTGCGTATCAGACGTGCCGGAGCCGTCCGACTGTAGCGACTAGCACAACCTCTGTCGAGTCCCAGAAACCCGAGGAGTCACACAGTCCACGCCTGTGTGATGCACGCCCTGTGAGCGGGGCGGGGTGCGCACTGTGTATGTTCACAGCAGCCGACAAACTCGCATCGATTCGCCGACGAGAGGCTGGCGTATAGCTCGGCTGTTCTTTTTTTTCCTCCCAGCTAAAAGCACCATTCTCGCACACGCACGATTCAAAGAAAGAAAGAAAGAAAACAGACAACCAAGGGAGGGATGGGACGCACGATTCACGCAACAGGCGAAGCGGGACGAGACTTTTTCTTCGGGCAGCTGCGGAGGCCGCCGAGCCACGCCGCTGTTATCGGCGACAGCCCATCGCCTGTGGGCGCTCCACACGGGCACATCGCTCGGCGACCCGATCGAGGCGCGTTCGCTCGCCTCGGTCTCGTCCGGCGCGGCGGCAAGAGCTGGCGGCAGGTAGCAGCATGCTGCTGATCGCGTCGTCTTCCCCGGCGCCGCCTACCTCGAGATGGCTCGCGCGGTGTGCGTCGCCCGCTCCGGCGGCGAAGGCGGAGGCGCGTCGCTGCGGCGCGTCTTCTTCTGGCCGCCGCTCGTGCTGGGCGGCGGCCTGAGCGAGGCGCGGGTGAGGGTGGGCGTGTCTGAGGGTTTGAAGTGGGTGCCAAGGCCGGCGGCGAGGCATCCACAGCCGGCTGGGAATTATTCAGACGGACTGACAAACGCTCGGATCATCTCTGCGCCGCGGTGGATGAATTGCGACGGTTTGATCGGCGGACGCCAATCCTGGTCCGCCAGTATACTCGATTGCGGACTGGCGACGCTCCCGGCACCAGCTGCGTGACTGCTCAAAATTGCGACGGTGCCTGTGCTGACTCGCCGCGCTGCGTCAGACGCCCACCCTCGCGTGGGAGCGTGCGCAGGAGGGAGCTTCGGCACGACCCAGTCGCGCGGGCAAAACATGGCACCGTCCCGGACGCGTTCGGCAGGATGCCCTCCGAAGACAGCCGAGAGACAGATGCGATCTCTTAGCGGCCAGAGCACGTGCGCAGCCCTGGCGGGCGTATCCCTGCGGATGCACCGTCGGCGGCTGTCCGATGCCGGTGGGCGCACCGCCGACGGCGTGCCGAGCAGCGTCCAACGCTTTGGCGGAGGCGGAGGCGGCGGTGGAGGGCAGGCAGCCGCAGGACGACGCGGTGGCCGCCAAATCGTCACGAGATCGACGCCGAGGCGGGCGCCTGCCGGCCGCTCCGGCTGTGGCGGAGATGGCGAGTCCGCGCCGGCTCGCAAAGCTACGGCGCGTCGGGAGCGAATGCGGGGGGCGGAGGAGGCTGGGGCGAGCAAAGCACAGAGGCTGCTGCTGCGCGAGAATCGGCACGAGAATCGCGTGTGGGGGGCACAATAGGATCGTAGCGCGTGTGTGTGTCGGTACCTCGTGTATTCTCCGCAGTTTTTTTGTTCTGGCACGTGTCACAGGGAAGGGGTGCAAGAGCGTGGATTGCGTGTCATTCATAGCGACGTAAAATCATTCGACAAGCGAAAGGCGGCGCCTTGCATCTGCCGGGCGGCCTCCGCTCTCGCACACTCAGCGAGCGTCGGCGCTGCTACGCGCGGCTCGAGCGATCGGCTCCACTTCTCCGCGCCACCATGCCGCGCACCCCCGCTCGCGCCTACCGCTCCCTCGCGCTCATCGCTCTGGCCGCAGCGGCCAGCGCGCTGTCGCTGGCCCGAGAATCAGCGCCGAATCTTCGGCGGTCGACAAGACTGTGCATCTATACCGTGCCGGCGCTGCTCGTCTCCAACTCGTCCATGAACGCGCTGCGTCCGCCTCTGCCCGGGCAGCCTGTGTGGCGCTCAACCGCGACCGGCTTCACCTCCAACCCTGGCGTCGCCTCGGCTTGGCAGCACCGAGCCTCCCTGCACTGCGCCGCGCCTGCCAGCTCCCTCGGACCAGTTGCGGGCGTGGGATCTGGCGAGGCGGCGGACGGCACCGAGGCCGCGGACGGCGCTGAGGCAGCCGGCGCGCTGTCGTGCCCGTCTCGCGCTGTCGTGCCGGACTCGCTCTCCTCCGTGCACGCGCTGCGACCGCCGCTGCCCGGGCAGCCGACTTGGTGCTTGGCTGCCGCGTGTGTTGGCTTCCCCGCCAACTCCGCTGTCGCCTCCCTGTACTGCGCGTCGGATGCCGGCTCCCTCGGACCGGAGGCGGGCGTGGGACCTGCCATGGCGGCGGACGGAGCCGAGACCGCGGACGGTGCGCTCCTGTCGTCAGTCTTGTGTGAGGGCGTCGGGCGTGTCGGGAGTGGGTGTCGCTCGTGCTCGCCTTGCCGCAGGCTCGAGGACTCCGAGGCTCGTGGGCCCACTTGCCCTGTCGTGACCCCGCGTGTCGTGGGCAGCACACTCCGAGAGTGTGATGCGGGGTCCACCCCGGGCGCCACCCTCCCGGTCATAAGCGCTTCTGAGCAGACCGGGGGGGACAATCGGGGGGTGTCGACAACGCAACAACCTTACGGGGTCGCACAGTGGCCGCCAGCATCTGCTGCCGCCCCGCGACCCTGTCTGGGGGCACCGTCACACCACGGGTGTTGCTTAACAGCGCACTTCGACAGGGCAGCGCAACGTCAGCAGAGTCAACTCGAGTGTCAACGGCCTACGTGCGGCACCTTGCCCTCCGAGGCGGTCAAGCTCGAGAGAACCATCCCGTGTGGCATCTACGCTGCCAACGACGACTCGCTCCCGCCGGGATCTGGGTCGACCAGTACCGATGGCGTTCGAGCACCAGGACGACCAACGTGGACACGCCCATAGCTGGGGACACTACTAGGTCACGCATGGCATCAGAAGTTTTATCTCTGGGCCCCGAAAGGCATCTCTAGCAGTGTCGTTACGCACACACACACACACACAGGACTGCCGACAATAAAAATCAGCTGCAAACTTCAAAAAAAGAAACAACGCAGCGAACTCGCATCGTATTCGCCGACTCCGCAGCGGCGCGTTCCTAGGAACGGGCGTTCGTTTTCTTTGTATCTTCCATACTGCGTTTATCAGAAGACACGACACTGCAATTCAATGAAAATTCTATTGAGACGTGCGTTCCGCTCCCACTGGACGGGACCATTACAGCCCCCTTGCGCGGGGCGGCACGCGCCTCTCTTGCACGGCACGCGTCTCATCGTCGGTGTCGCCTTGCCTCCGGCTCGACTTTGATGGCACACTGACGAGTGACGAGGGCTATACTCGCTCGCTCGAGTACCCGGGGGCCGGAGGGTATGGTCGGCAGGCCGCCAAAGAAACGTTCGCCAGGGGCCCGATATGCCATGTTCCTGAAACAAGTGGATGGCACGATTCGCGCAGGTGGCGCAGGCACCCGCCAGCAGGACGACGCCACCAAGGCCGACAAACTGTTCACAGCGCGCACAAACTCGCATCGATTCGCCGACGACTCAGGCTGGCGTATAGCTCGGCTGTTCTTTTTTTCCTCCCAGCTGAAAGCACCATTCTCGCACACGCACGATTCAAAGAAAGAAAGAAAGAAAACAGACAACCCAACGGAGGGATGGGACGCACGATTCACGCAACAGGCAAAGCGCACTTGGAGCGCTTTGTGCGCGACGAGACTTTTTCTTCGGGCAGCTGCGGAGGCCGCCGAGCCACGCCGCTGTTATCGGCGACAGCCCATCGCCTGTGGGCGCTCCACACGGGCACATCGCTCGGCGACCCGATCGAGGCGCGTTCGCTCGCCTCGGTCTCGTCCGGCGCGGCGGCAAGAGCTGGCGGCAGGCAGCAGCATGCTGCTGATCGCGTCGTCTTCCCCGGCGCCGCCTACCTCGAGATGGCTCGCGCGGTGTGCGTCGCCCGCTCCGGCGGCGAAGGCGGAGGCGCGTCGCTGCGGCGCGTCTTCTTCTGGCCGCCGCTCGTGCTGGGCGGCGGCCTGAGCGAGGCGCGGGTGAGGGTGGGCGTGTCTGAGGTTCGAAGTGGGTGCCAAGGGCGGCGGCGAGGCATCCACAGCCGGCTGGGAATTTTTCAGACGGACTGACAAACGCTCGGATCATCTCTGCGCCGCGGTGGATGAATTGCGACGGTTTGATCGGCGGACGCCAATCCTGGTCCGCCAGTATACTCGATTGCGGACTGGCGACGCTCCCGGCACCAGCTGCGTGACTGCTCAAAATTGCGACGGTGCCTGTGCTGACTCGCCGCGCTGCGTCAGACGCCCACCCTCGCGTGGGAGCGTGCGCAGGAGGGAGCTTCGGCACGACCCAGTCGCGCGGGCAAAACATGGCACCGTCCCGGACGCGTTCGGCAGGATGCCCTCCGAAGACAGCCGAGAGACAGATGCGATCTCTTAGCGGCCAGAGCACGTGCGCAGCCCTGGCGGGCGTATCCCTGCGGATGCACCGTCGGCGGCTGTCCGATGCCGGTGGGCGCACCGCCGACGGCGTGCCGAGCAGCGTCCAACGCTTTGGCGGAGGCGGAGGCGGCGGTGGAGGGCAGGCAGCCGCAGGACGACGCGGTGGCCGCCAAATCGTCACGAGATCGACGCCGAGGCGGGCGCCTGCCGGCCGCTCCGGCTGTGGCGGAGATGGCGAGTCCGCGCCGGCTCGCAAAGCTACGGCGCGTCGGGAGCGAATGCGGGGGGCGGAGGAGGCTGGGGCGAGCAAAGCACAGAGGCTGCTGCTGCGCGAGAATCGGCACGAGAATCGCGTGTGGGGGGCACAATAGGATCGTAGCGGGTGTGTGTGTCGGTACCTCGTGTATTCTCCGCAGTTTTTTTGTTCTGGCACGTGTCACAGGGAAGGGGTGCAAGAGCGTGGATTGCGTGTCATTCATAGCGACGTAAAATCATTCGACAAGCGAAAGGCGGCGCCTTGCATCTGCCGGGCGGCCTCCGCTCTCGCACACTCAGCGAGCGTCGGCGCTGCTACGCGCGGCTCGAGCGATCGGCTCCACTTCTCCGCGCCACCATGCCGCGCACCCCCGCTCGCGCCTACCGCTCCCTCGCGCTCATCGCTCTGGCCGCAGCGGCCAGCGCGCTGTCGCTGGCCCGAGAATCAGCGCCGAATCTTCGGCGGTCGACAAGACTGTGCATCTATATCCCGCTCGCGGTGCTCGTCTCCAACTCGTCCATGAACGCGCTGCGTCCGCCTCTGCCCGGGCAGCCTGTGTGGCGCTCAACCGCGACCGGCTTCACCTCCAACCCTGGCGTCGCCTCGGCTTGGCAGCACCGGGCCTCCCTGCACTGCGCCGCGCCTGCCAGCTCCCTCGGACCAGTTGCGGGCGTGGGATCTGGCGAGGCGGCGGACGGCACCGAGGCCGCGGACGGCGCTGAGGCAGCCGGCGCGCTGTCGTGCCCGTCTCGCGCTGTCGTGCCGGACTCGCTCTCCTCCGTGCACGCGCTGCGACCGCCGCTGCCCGGGCAGCCGACTTGGTGCTTGGCTGCCGCGTGTGTTGGCTTCCCCGCCAACTCCGCTGTCGCCTCCCTGTACTGCGCGTCGGATGCCGGCTCCCTCGGACCGGAGGCGGGCGTGGGACCTGCCGTGGCGGCGGACGGAGCCGAGACCGCGGACGGTGCGCTCCTGTCGTCAGTTTTGTGTGAGGGCGTCGGGCGTGTCGGGAGTGGGTGTCGCTCGTGCTCGCCTTGCCGCAGGCTCGAGGACTCCGAGGCTCGTGGGCCCACTTGCCCTGTCGTGACCCCGCGTGTCGTGGGCAGCACACTCCGAGAGTGTGATGCGGGGTCCACCCCGGGCGCCACCCTCCCGGTCATAAGCGCTTCTGAGCAGACCGGGGGGGACAATCGGGGGGTGTCGACAACGCAACAACCTTACGGGGTCGCACAGTGGCCGCCAGCACCTGCTGCCGCCCCGCGACCCTGTCTGGGGGCACCGTCACACCACGGGTGTTGCTTAACAGCGCACTTCGACAGGGCAGCGCAACGTCAGCAGAGTCAACTCGAGTGTCAACGGCCTACGTGCGGCACCTTGCCCTCAGAGGCGGTCAAGCTCGAGAGAACCATCCCGTGTGGCATCTACGCTGCCAACGACGACTCGCTCCCGCCGGGATCTGGGTCGACCAGTACCGATGGCGTTCGAGCACCAGGACGAGGAGGCGCCGTTCTCGCGTCTCCCGTCCCCGACAACTCCGACATGGACATCTTCGTTGGCGGCACGCCCGTCAACGAGACCATCGCCAGCCTCTTCTCTTGCGACGCCTCGCCGCCGCCCGCCGACGAGGACTCGCGAGTGAGCATCTTCTCCGTCATTTACACGCTCATCGTCTTCGTCGTGAAATTGTGTCGGATCGCCGCGCTCGCCTTACTCTCAATCATGTACACGCTGGTCGCCTGCCTCGTGGACATGCTCCGGGCCATCGTCTTCACCCTCTGGCGGCGCACGGCATGAGCACACGGCATGGACAGTGGACCCGTGTGTCGACTGTCTGTTTTTGGAGATAGCTTGGTTGTGTGGGGTTTTTTATCTTTTGTTCAAAGGGGTAAAAAGACACCCTGGTGCGGTACTCGAGTAGGGATCAATGCCTCCTGAGTTGTATGTATGTAGGAATCCTACCACTCCTCCCTACTTGTTACGATGCGAGTACCCTATTACATAGTGGAGACTCCGCGAATACGATGCGAGTATCCAGCCCGCGAATACGATGCGAGTTCACACAAGTACGATGGCGCTGTTCACATAAACGCACAACCCCGCCCGGGCCGCCCGAAATCGCACAGAGAGCTGTTCACAGCCTTGTTATGAGAAGAAAATACGTTCCCATGGCGCTATGCGCTGGTCTGTGAGAGGTTGAGGTGCGAGCCCTGGAGGCCCTGGGGATGGGGGGAGACTACCCACGGGCCTAGAAGGCCCGCCCGCAGCGGGGCGCGGCATTCACAGCAACCACGACAAACTCGCATCGTATTCGCCGGGTGGGAGCCACGGGAGCCGCCCAAAAAGAGAATTCTACCTGGCGTAGATCTCTTCCGGAGGAGGAGGGCTTTAATAAAATCGCCCTCTTCAAAAAAAGAAACAATGCTCAAACTCGCATCGTATTCGCCGACTCCGCAACAAGCGGCGCGATACGATCCTCGCTTCGCGCGCCTCGGCCTCCGTGAGCCGGCCCCTCCTCTCCTGTAGGCACGCAGCAGACGAGCGCGGCAGAGCAATGGTCTTCTTCGCCAGGCGCGCGCGCGCGCCCGGATCCGCCTGCGGCGCTCCCGCGGCCTCCAGAGGCCTCTGTGTTCATCAACGCTGTGTCAGCCGTCGCGAGAGGGTGGGTGGTGGCGAGGCGGCCCGCGCGGATCCTTCGTCAGCGGGCCGTCGCGGGAACTGCTCCACGCTCCCGTCCCGCTTGTCGCCTCCGATGCGCGCCCCAGCCAGAGGGAGGCACGCGGAGGAGGGTGTCTGCGCAAGAGAGCGTCGGCCGACTGCAGCCCTCTCGCTCCCCCGCGTGCGCGACAACCCCGCACCGCGCCCACCCGGCTCGAGGCCTCTCCCTCCTCAGAGCCTGCCTCCCCTCCGGTCACGCCCTTCCTCCGCCGCCCGCAGCCAGCACCATCCGCTGAATGGGGCGCGATTCACGGGCGCCAGCGGCTCCTTTGCGGCGGCGCCTGCGGAGAAGTCGGGTGCGATGCAGTTCATCATGGACTTCCTCGCGGGCGGCATCGCGGGCGCGGTCGCGAAGACCTGCACTGCGCCGATCGAGCGCGTCAAGCTGCTGATCCAGACGCAGGATGCCAACCCGAAGATCATCTCTGGCGAGGTCCCGCGCTATACGGGCATCATCAACTGCTTCACGCGCGTCTCTTCCGAGCAGGGCTTCTCGGCCTTCTGGCGCGCACCGCCGAGCACGCCCCCGCCGCTCTCCCCCCCGACACAACGAACCCTCTCCCCCCTCCCCTCCCCTCCCCCCCCTCTCACCCGCGCCTCTCGTAGCTCACCCGCGCCTCTGGTGCGTCAGGCGGGGCAACACGGTGAACGTGATCCGCTACTTCCCGACCCAGGCCTTCAACTTCGCCTTTAAGGACACCATCAAGGGCTTCTTCCCCAAGTACAACTCAAAGACCGACTTCGGTAAGTTTTTCGCGACCAACATTGCGTCCGGCGGCCTGGCCGGCGCCGGCTCGCTCGCGATCGTCTACCCGCTCGACTACGCGCGCACCCGGCTCGCGTCGGACGTGGGCTCGGGCCAGCCGCAGTTTGAGGGCCTCGTCGACTGCCTGGCGAAGACCATCAAGTCCGGCGGCATCTTGTCCATGTACGGCGGCTTCAGCGTCTCTGTCGTCGGCATCGTCTTCTACCGCGGCCCGTATTTCGGCATCTTCGACACGCTCAAGGCGATCAACCCGTTCAAGAACGACCCGGGTCTCGTCGGCTTCGCGTCCAAGTTTGCGATCGCGCAGACCACCGCCATCATCGCCGGCTTCATCTCGTACCCCTTCGACACGGTCCGCCGCCGCCTGCAGATGCAGTCGGAGAAGCCCCCGGAGCAATGGCTGTACAAGGGCACCGCGGACTGCGCGATCAAGGTGGTGAAGGAGGAGGGCGTCGGCGCCATGTTCAAGGGCTTTGGCGCCAACGTGCTGCGCACCCTTGGCGGTGCGCTCGTGCTCGTCGGCTACGACGAGATCAAGAAGCTGATGGCTTAGAGTTGCCCGTCCCTTTCGGACGGCGCGTGCCCTTTCGTGACCACCACCGCCCCTTCCCGCCCTCCCACCCCGCATGCGTTGTGGACCGGTGCCTCTCGTGTGCGAGTGTCTTATCTCTGCCGGCGCGCGGGTCACCCAGTCAGTCGAGGGGGCGGGGTTTCCTCTCTCGACGCGCCTCGTCTGTTGCGCGCGCAGTTCCAGTTGGCCGGACTTGGCCATTTAGCTACCCGGGGGAACAGAGTCAAACGCCTGTACATTCTTTGGCTCGAGAGCACTTCTGTTCTTCTCTCGTAAGATTTTGAGACTTCTCGCTCACAGCACAGGAGACAGGCTGTGGCTGAGGGTGAGGGACACGGGCGCGGACTGGCAACGTGCTCCTGCTGGTACTAACACAAGCACAGCAGCGGAATTTAAGGAAAAGGTCGTCGTCGTCGTCGGTGCGCCCCGCGATTTCTCCTTTTTGCCGCGCTCTTCCCACGATCACTGTCTACCCTTATAAGTCTCTCGTGTCGGCGCCGACGCTCTTGGTTTAACCGTAGAACGTCCCAGCCGAACTCCGCCCGCCACGATCGATCAGTCCACAATCGTCGGCCCGCAGCGACCCGCAGCGATGGATGCCGCCGCCCCCCCCGGCCCCTGCGGCTGACGCGCCGATGCACGACCGGCCTCCGTCGGATGGCTCTCCGGCCTCTCCGGCCGCTGACGCGGCCGCCCATGCTGCTGCCGATCCGGTCCCTCTCACGCTCAGTGATATCCGCACAAGCTACGACAACTTCGAGGTCGCCGGCTTTGGCCAGGTGCAGCCACCACCTGCTTGCCTCCATGTTCACGCTTCGCGCCCCTTCCCCCCCTCTGACGCCGCCGTATGACCGTAGGTGAGGGGCACGACTACCCGCCTGGAAGGCGCTCTCATCAGCAAGTCACCCAGGCACCAACTCCTGGGCGTTTACGCTTGACTACGAAACCATGCAGTGGATGCAGCTCGATCAAAACGGCGACGCCAACAGCTGGTCCCTCGCCCAGGATGAGGTGCGAGCCATGATGCTCGATTATCAGCGTGCACCAAGTCGCTCACATTCCGTGAGTTCGTCAACGGGCCGAACTCTCCAAGTCGACTGCGATCTCGAACTCCGACAACTGGACCGGTGCACCGCGGAGGACGATGGCTCCCTCGACGACATCCCTTCATCGACGGACGCCTTCACCGCCGCCGGCCCTGGGCCATCCAGCGCGGCCTCCGACGGCCTGCACGTGATCGAGCGGGTACAAAAACGGTGGCTGCCGCAGCTCACACCCTAATCGATCTGCCTTAGGCACGGAGCCAACGGAGCCATCGCGCATGCCCGCATCGCGTGCGGCTCCGAGGTCTCCCGCCGAGACCGGCTCGGCGCGGCGCGTGGCCGCACGCCGCCGTTGAAAAGGCGAGATAGGACCGAGGGGAGAGCGCCGGCCACATCGAGCGAGCGCTGACGTGTAAGGTGTCTGCGCTGCTCCGGTGTGTGTGGGATTATGCCTCCCACCCATCTGTGCGGCGAGGTGTTTGCGGCGCGATGCCCGATCGTGCGCGAGAGCCTCCCATTGTGCGTGGTGTGTCGGTGTGTCGGGGTCGTCCGGAGCGTGTGGCGGCGCCGTTGCATGCAGCGACTGCTCCACGTGCCACGACTGCTTTGACTGACGTGACTGACTGATGAGTGCCACCACTGCTTTGACTGACGTGACTGACTGATGAGACATGAGTGCTGATGGATGATCTCCGACAACCCAAAACCAAAATGCAAATGAGTGGCCCACTTGGCGTGCAGATCCTGCGTCTCTCACTGCCCGAACAACAGAGACGGGTACCGCCGCAGGTCCCACACTAGTGACGTATACACAGCCGCGCAACAGTTCGCATGCAGGCTGCCTGCGCTCCTCCGCATCGCACCATCCCGACCAGCGTCGACGCGCTCACCGTGGCGCTCACCGTCGCGACGGTGGCGGTGACGGTCCCGCAGTACATCAAGCTCTTGCGCTCGCGCTCGTCGGCGGGGCTGAGCCTGCCCACGGTGGTCCTCACCGCCGGCCTCAATCTGTGCGACGTGGCGGCCGCAATCATCACCAAGTGGAGGCAGCTGCAGGACTGCGCGCACGGCGCGGCGTGCGTGCCCGAGCTGCTGGACCTCGTGCAGACCGTCGTCCTCACCGCCACCTCCGCGGCCGTGCTCGTGATGGTGGTCTGCTATCCGCCGCACGACGGCGCCGCAGCGCGCTCGGTGGCTGCGATCACACTGTTCGCCACCGCGGTCGCATGGGCGGTGAGCGCGGGCGTCTCGCTCGCTGCCCCTTGCAGCCGCGGTGCACTCAGCCTTGCGCAGGCCTACGGAGTGGCGGCCGCCGGCTGCGCCGTCGTGCAATACATTCCGCAGCTCCGCACCACGCTGCTCGAGCGCTCGTCCGGCTCGCTCTCGGTCTCCTTCTACCTGCTGCAGGCGGCGGGCGGCCTGATCGTCGCCGCCGAGCAGGTCTTCGCGGCGGCCGACCCGTGGCCGGTGTGGCTGCCCTTTCTATGCTCGACGAGCATGCAGCTAGTCGTCGCCCTCTGCTGCGTCTACTTCGACTGCGTGGCGCGCCAAAGGCGCGCCGGGGACAGCGCCGTTCCTGGAGCAGAGCGGCTGCTCGACCCTGCCCGCGCTGCGGCGGCGAGGGACTCTCAGCCGGCTGAGGTTGCACCGGCGGGCGAGCTGCACGCGGAGAGCCCAGTGAGGCAAGGCCGTGTCGGGG